CCCGCCCCGGCGGAAGCGGCGCGGGCCGCAGTCGCAGCGTCGCGGGCGGCAGCGCAGGCTCCGGCGCCGGCCCCGCGCCGCCCTCCCCGAGCAGGAGAGCACGGCAGGTGCGGCCCCGGCCTTCCCTTCCCTCCCTTCTTCTTTTCCGCTTTTCTATTTCTTCTTTTCTTTGTTTTCCTCATTTTCTCTTTTTTTCTCCCCGTTTTTTCCCTCCCTTTTCTCCCCCTTTCTCCTTTTTTCCCTTTCCTCTTTTTTCCCCTATTCTCCTTTGTTTTTTGCCCCTTTCTCTTTTCTTATTCCTTTTCTCTTGCCCCTTTCATTTTTGCTCCTTTTCCTTCTCTCTCTTTTATTTTTCTTTTACTCTCCGCCTTTTCCGAATTCATTTTCCTCCTTCCTCCCCCCTCTCCCCCGCACCTTTTTCCTGCCGCTCTCCCCGTTCCCCCTCGTCCCCTCTCCCGGTTCCAGGGGCGGGAGCACGCGGGGCTTTCCCGCCGCGCGCGGCGCCGCCCGGGGCCGGCTCCTTCTTCCCGCAGCGGCGCCTCGCGCGGTCCCTTTTCTCTCCATGCCGAGCACTTCCCGGGCGATACTACGTGGGACGCGGGACGGATGTCACCCATGAATCAGGGTCTTTGTTTACTTATGTTTTCCTTTTTTCTTTTTTTTTCCCCCCCCCCCCCCCGCTGGGGTTGGGGCGGTCGCCGCCGGGCGGGCACAAGACTCCTAAAATCTTGGCGTTGGCGCATCCTGCGCGGGCTGCAGCCGGGTCGGGGCTCGCGTTAACCGAGGGTCCGACCCGAACGCTCCCCGCCCCCGTCCCGAACGCTCTATCCCCCGTCCCGAACGCGCTCCCTCCGCGTGTTTTGCCACGCTCTGTTCGCTGTCTGATTCACCTGCATCTTTCAGGTTGCCCGTAAGATATCCTTGTGATTGGTGTTGCTTTCCRGTAGTTTTTCCCCCCACGCACGCTTAAAATGGCCAAAATCTCTGAGCTGGGGCCGGGGCGGCATTTGGGAGCCCGAGCCCCACAGCTGCCAAGCTCCAGCAGAGGCCTCCGGTTGCACCGGGCGGCGCTGGGGCGGCTGCCCTCGCCCAGTCCCTAAAACCGGATTTTAAAGGTAGTGTTGGGAACTGTGACTCGGCCGTGGTTCAGCGGAAGGTCAGGGGAAAAAAAAAAAGTGAAAAAAGAAAAGGCATACATGCAAACTGATAAAATTGCTTTTATTATTTTTGAAAAAAATCATGGCTTTATCTATAAACTTTCCTGGGCGATGATCCTTGTCAAGAGCTGGTGAGAAGCAGTGGAGCCTAGAAAGCTTTGGGAGCTTTGCTTGAATTTGTAAGCATCATTGCCAGGGCGCCAGGTGTTGGGAAGAGTTTTGCAGGTGGTTTGCATGTATTCTGCATGCGTGYGTTGTTTGGAGATGGGCAGCAAGATTTATGTCTAGTTCTTTAACCTAATCCTTATGAGGGCTTTTGTCAAGCTTCTGATGAAGTTTCCTGTGCGTATTTGACTTTTAGGTGAGTTTACTGCTGTAGTGGCTTGCAGGCTCATATATGCAAGCATCGTGCCATGGCCTCAGCTTTGCTTCCAACCAGTAGTAGTGACTCTGGTGACTCTTTCTTTTATAAGCCGAAGTTTTACTGAAACTGGGCCAAACTTTGATTGTCTTGTACTGTAGTATCAATAACTGCCACTGTACTCAGCACAGATGTACTGGGTTTTTATAGGCTGGGGGTGATCCCAATACTTCGTATAAAAGTATAATCTCAGTAGATCTCCAATGTAATTAAGTGCCGGATACTTTTTTCATTGCTTAATCCCGCATTTCCTGGTTCTTGTAAGGACAGCCAAGAAATCTTCCTTGATGATTAAAATAGCATATAGATACTGACACAGATCACAAAATGGGATGAGCAACACAGTTATAAAATATGGATAGTTAAATACTTAAGAAATGTCGTGTGCCATACTAATACTGAGTAATGACAGGTTTTCCAATACTACTTAAAATCTGCATTTAGCTTGAAGTGTCCAGAGACAACAGCAAGTGTGCATGTGTGCATATGTGTGTTTGTGCTTTAATGGTTACCAGTGTTAATCTAWCTCCAAAAGCTCCTTCCAGGTGAAAGGAAATCCCTTATTACAGGACTGCTCGCCTTTAATTGCTGAAATACTATTAACCGCATCCTTAAGGACAGTGTAACCTGTGCCATGTCTTGGCTATGGGCAAAACCCAGCACAGGCCTGGTTGGACAGCTGTGTTATTAGAGATTTTCAAGACTGGTTTGTTTTCAAAGAGACTACCGGGAACAAAATGAATTCACTAAATCTGACAATGGGTGTTTGATAGCAGCTCACTGCAAAAGGCCTCTGAAACTTCATCCCAAACTGCGGTGAACTTCAGATGGCTTCTCAAAAACAGTTGATTTATAAAACAAAATATTTATGACAACAAGGATGCAGGCTGTGCCTTTTAGGTCCGTCCTCTCACCTGGATCTTGCCACGGCGTGGGGTGTTTCAAAGYGAGGAGCTGCAGAGTGGGTATTGCCAGATCTGCTCTGCATACGGGGCGCACCAGCGCCCGCCGCCCTCCTGCCTTGAGGATTGGTTTCATCCCAGGGCCAATAAATAGGAATTGTTGTGCAGTGAATCCCAGAGAAGCACTCGGGTTTAGAGTTACTGCTCAGGCAGATTTCTATGCCTGAGGCTTTGATCAAAGTGRAGTTGTTCCAACCATCCACCTCAASCTAGCCCCTGCCTTAGAAAAGGGCACTGTGTTGGATCCCTCGCATCTGCTCACTTGCAAAGCAAGCTTAGTTTTTTTTTCCCCAGGGGTTTCAGCTCTTTCTGATGCCCTTTAACAGTCCGTATACTTCACCAGTATCCAGGATCTCCTTACAGCTATGCCCCACTTTGGAAAGTGGTTAAAAAATATGCATTTAATAGTAATAGTTCTGAGGTTGGTTTGGCTTAAACAATGCATAATTACACAGTGCTGACTGCAGTATGGGAATTAAACAGCTCATGCAGCAGTGACTGCTACAAGGCACTTCATAAATTAAGAACAAAGAAGAAAATCCAGCCCACTAAGAATTCACATTACAAAAGTTTTTTTAAAAGTGTACAGTGTCAGGAATATTTTATGATTTTGTTCATTTGTTTTTCCTTTCAGAATAAGGGCGCATGCTTCGCAGCAACTCCTTGTTATTGGCCAGTGCATGACTCTTGAAATTTTGACCATATTTATAATGTCTGTGAATCAAGCCTAGAAATAGTGGCGTGAGCTGCAGGAGAAAAWCTTGTTTTGTATTTCTCAAGTGTGTATTCATCAGCTGCACATCTTGGTTTCAGAAGACTTAAGTTAGTCAAATTTTCCTGAATTTAGGTCAATATTGTCATTATATATTTGGGTCTTGGCACCTCGGAGATTACCATGGGCCGTAATTTAGAGCGGTGGAGAAAAGGAAACTTGGTGGTTCATATGTATAAGATTTTAAACAAAAATAACCCACAACTTAGTAGAGGTATTTGTAAGTACATGGCAAAATTATAAAGGTAGGTCTGTATTTAAGAACTGGGTTTTGCTCTGATTTTTCCCAATGCCCAGTCCTTTGCCGTGCCATCATCTGTGCCACTATTTTCCACAGCCATCTGGACTTGCCTTTTAGAAGCAGTGCTGTTCTCACTCCGTGAAGGCTTGCAGACCATCTCAGGTGTGACCAGGTACGTGTGGGAGAGGCCAGGTCCCCGCTGAAGCGTGGCTCTGTTCTCGTTAGCCAGCCGGGACGTCCGCACAGGCATTTCGGGTCCGTTTGGATTATTCAGCTCAGCGATACCTCTCTCAACAGCGCTGAGGTGTGATGGGTTTGTCGCTCCGTCGTGACAAACCAACGACATTGGCCCACGCCGTGTCAGTGATAAGCTGGGCCTAAGCCCRGCAGCGCTCAGCTCTGTTGCAACCACTTGTTTGTTCCAACTCTGCTATTGCTCTAGCCGTTTTTAAGGAGGAATCGCTGGAGAAAACCCCCAAATGCTGCACATCGCTGTTGGGAGCAGGGACGGTTCTGGTCGGGCTGCGTGCGCCCTCCTGACATCTGCTCATCGGCCCACTCGGCTTAATAGCCGGCAGATTTGGCTGCTGGTGTCTGTAGCCTCCTTAGCACAGCTCCGCATAAGCTGATCCCGGGAATCTGCCTGAACATATGGACGGAGCAGGAAGGGACGTTCCCCCGGGAGGGGCTGAACACTACTGCAGTTGGCAAAGAGGTTTCCAGGCCCTCCCCTGCTCTTTCCAAGTACMCTCCTTATGCAGAGGGGAAAAAAAAAATTGATCCCTGGTGCTCCTTTGCCTCAGGATTGTTCCAACAGAACCATCTTGGCAGGTGTGTTTGTTAGCTGTAGGGCCCAAGCG